CTCCAATATGCCCCCTCAATCCTATGCATGGTCTTGGCTGCAACTTTAGCTTGTTTCTTAAGCATGTATAGGATTGACCTGTCAAGGCTTTAGTAAATATGTCTGCAGTCTGCTCGATGGCTGGGACATGTTGGACAGAAATAGTCTTGTTTTGGACCTTCTCTCTTATAAAATGAAGATCTAGCTCGAGGTGCTTGGTCCTAGCATGATAAACAGGATTGGCAGCCAAACACACCGCACCTCTGTTATTTACCCAGATGATACTAGGAGAAATGTACTTAACCTTCAATTCATTCAAGAGGGACTGTATCCATACAACCTCACAGCATGTTTGAGCCACACTTCTGTACTCAGCTTCTGTGGAGGATCTAGAGACTATTGGTTGCTTTTTGGAACTCCATGAAATCAGATTTTCTCTAATATAGACACATAATCCAGATGTGGATCTTCTATCATCTGGGTCAGAACCCCAGTCTGCATCTGAGAAGGCATTGAGATTGAAGTGAGAACATTTTTGTATTTTCAGGGCATAAGTCTTTGTACCTGCCAAATATCTTAAAATTCTTTTAACAGGCTTCCAATGAGAGTCCAAAGGATTTTGCATGAATTGGCAGACTTTGTTCACACTAAATGAAATATCTGGTCTTGTGAGGGTTAAATATTGCAGGGCTCCCACTATCTGCCTGTATAACCTAGGATTTTCCATAGGTTGGCCTGTGAATTTTGAAAGGGCTGGATGAGAAATCATGGGTGAATTAAGACCCTTTCCCCCTTCATGCAAGCCCTGTCAAGAAGGGAATCAATATAGCTGGATTGATCCAAGTACAGGCCATCTGGAGTATAGGTGACTTGAATACCCAAGAAAAAATTCAGCCTACCAATATCCTTGAGAGAAAAATGAGACTGGAGGGATTTTATAAGGGCAGAGATTTGTGAGGTGTCACTACCAGTCAATATTATGTCATCCACATAAACCAAAATAAATAAAGAAAAGGTTGTGGTGTGCTTATAATAAAGAGAAGAATCTGCTTTGGAGATGGAAAAACCAAGAGTGAGAAGTACTGAACCAAATTTGGAGGACCAAGCTCTGGATGATTGCTTGAGTCCATAAATGGATTTGTTGAGTTTACAAACAAGGCCCTGTGATGCAGCTAACTCAAAGCCTGGGGGCTGAGCCATATAAATCTCTTCCTCTAGAGTGCCATTGAGAAAGGCATTATCAATTTCCAGTTGTCTGATGTCCCAGCCTAGTGATGTTGCAAGAGAAAGAACAATTCTAATAGTAGTAGGCTTTACCACAGAGCTGAAAGTTTCAGTGTAGTCGAGTCCAGCATCTTGTGTGTATCCCTTGGCCACCAGTCTGGGTTTATGCCTAGCTATAGTTCCATCACAGTTCTTTTTGAGCTAGAATACCCATTTGGTGCCAATGATATTTCTGTTGGGAGGAGATGGAACTAGAGACCAAGTGTTATTGTGCAATAAAGCATTGTATTCAACCTGCATGGCCTTGTACCATTCTGGGGAAGCAAGAGCTTCAGAAAGAGATCTTGGTTCCATGGTGATACTCTTGGCAGCAAAGTAAGTCTTGGGCTTGTATATACCTGGCTTAGACCTATAGTCATGGGATGAACATTAGAATTATCAGTAGCATGAGGATTAGATACATGGTCTTGCTCAACTGGTAAGTCAATGATGATTTGTCCTATTGGGATAGTGGAAGGGGATGAAGAATTGGATGTATGGTGGCTGTGGGATGGTGAGGGTGAAGTAGGAACAGATCTAGGTGAGCTGTGATGATGGCTATGAGCTGGGGAAAAGTGGAGGTTGGGAGTAGATGGAGTATGAGAGGGTGCTTGAGTATCTGAAGGTAGGATATTGTATTGATGAACAAGTATAAAGGGTGGAGAGGTTGTAGAGGAGTGATCATCTGAATCTGAGGTAGGTGTTTGGATGTTTGGTGTATGAAGAGGAAAAGTGTTCTCATCAAAAAGAACATGTCTGGTGGTGATAATCTTTTGGGAGGGAAGAAGGACTTTAAAGCCTTTGTGGTTGGGACTTAAGCCAAGGTAAATGGAAGGAAGACTCTTTGGTTGGAGTTTGTGAGAGTTGTATGGTTGTAATAAGGGATAGCAGAGACAACCAAAAGATTTGAAAGAATGGTAGTCTGGTTTGGTGTTAGTTAGAGCTTCAAGAGGAGATTTAAGGTGAATAAGCTTGTTGGGTATTCTGTTAATCAAGTAAACACCATAAGCAAAAGCTTCATCCCAATATTTAAAAGCAAGGTTGGACTGATATAAAAGGGACAAGCCAACTTGTACAATGTGACTATGCTTTCTCTCAGCAAGGCCATTCTGTTCAGGGGTATAAGGACAAGAAATCTTACATTTGATGCCAAGGTCTGAAAGTATAGGGTGCAAAGCTTGAAACTCTCCTCCTCCATCACATTGAAAAGATTTGATGCATGTGTGATATTGGTTTTTAATGAGAGCAAAAAAGTGAATGAAGGCTTGTTTGGTATCTGATTTGTTTTTAAGGAGATAAATCCAAACAAAACGAGTGCACTCATCAATAAAACTAACATAGTATTTGAAACCTTTGTGAGAAGTGATGGGTGCAGGTCCCTAAAGATCAGAATGGATCACATCAAAAGGTTTGTGATTGTGTGCAGTGGAAGACAAAAATGGGAGTTTATGAAATTTAGATTGCATGCAAACATTACAAAATAGAGGTCTTTTATTGTCTAGAAAAGGGACATTACATTGCTGCAAAGCAGCTTTTACAATCTTGAAAGATGGATGCCCTAATCTATTGTGCCATAATTCTAAACTCTGAAAGGATTCCAGAACTGCTGCATTGCAACTTGATTGAAGGTAAGGAAAACAGCTTGAAGGAGGGGAAGTACTAGGCTTAGCTTGGTTATCTTGGGAGTTTGTGAGCTGGAAACAATACAATCCATCTTTAAGAGTTCCTTGGAGTAAAACAGCTCCTGTCTTGAGATCCTTCACCAAGCATAAAGAAGGATGAAACTCAAAAAACACCATGTTGTCTTTAGCAAATTGTGATACACTGAGTAAATTTTTGGTGATTTGAGGTACAAGCATGAGGTTGTTAAGGAGAAAAATATTGGAATTAGAGGATTCAAGACTTTTCATCATAGCTTTACCAGTGTGAGTAATGACCATACCTGATCCACTTGCAGTTTGGATCCTTTCAGACCCTTGGTAGTCTGTGGCTATGTTTAAGTTGCTCATTTCATTGGTCAAGTGATGTGTTGCCCCAGAGTCAGGGAACCAAAGCATATCTTGACTTCCATCAGTGGACTGAGCACCTAAGCTGGCCACATTAGCAGAAAGATGGCCACTGTTGTTGTGCTCTTGGTAGTTTTGAGAGCCACCTCCATTATTCTGAGGCCGTGAGGTGAAGTTCATGTCAAACCAGTAATAGCATTTGTCTGCAGTATGGTTGTTGTAGTTACAAATTTGGCATCTTGGTTTGTTTTGGACATTGAAACCTCTACCTCCTCTACCTCTTCCTCTTCCATTTCCTCTTCCTCTGTTGGGTTGGAAGTTTCCATCAGATCTGCCTCTAGAGGTTGTAAAACCTCTTCCTCCTCTATTTGGAATATGAGTGGCCAGGTTTGCAGCTAGAAAAGATCCATCTCCTTCATTTGAGCTGGCTGTGCTTTCTAGCCTACTTTCAAAACTTAAGAGAAAGGAGTAGGCTTCTATTAGAGAGCAAGGCTGAGATCTGGATGTGAGGTTAACCACAACTGGGTTGTACTCAGAGCCAAGGCCAGCAAGAAGGTGCAGCAGTTGGTCATTTTCGGCTAACCTTTGGCCTGCTGCAGCAAGAAGATCACATATGCCCTTAACCTTGTTGAAATATTCTCTCATTTTGGTGCTGCCTTTCTTGAGAGTCTGCAACTCAAGTTTGAGTTGCATTTGTTTGGCAAGGCTATGGCTTGCAAAGCTTGTTTTCAGAGTATCCCAGATCTCTCTCGAGCTGTTTAGACCAACAGTGGATATCAGCACATTTTCAGACAAAGAAGATAAGAGCCATGATGCAATAAGTTGGTCCTGCTTCACCCAGTTCAAGAAGGCTTTGTTGATTGATGGCTCATTTGTATCTGGATCTGTAATGATCTTGTATGGTATGGCAGTTTCTCCTGTGAGATATCCAAGCAGTCCATATCCTCTGATGGAAGTGAGGATTTGCTGTTCCCAAAGCAAGTAATTGCTATCATTGAGCTTGATGGTGATCAGACTGCTTTGAAGCTGTATTGTTGGATCTATTTGTGGTGTGATGAGAGCCATAGATCTGAAAAACAAAGGGGAGAAACGATGAAAGGAGATGGATCAGAGACTGGTTTTCAACCAGCTCTGATACCATAAAAGGAAAACATTATGTGCACCATTAATGCAAGAAAAGCAATCAAAGCTCAATGTTCAAAACTTTCACTAAAATGGTAGGGTTTCTTTTTACATTACTTTTTCCTGTTGCATTGCTAGCCTATATATATGCATGAATAAATGCCTGCGGCTGCTACAGCTTCTTATCTCTCTCACATGCACCTCGTGATTAGGGTTTTGCATAATCTCTCATTTACCCCTCAGCTCCTAAATGGTCAGCTTCTGCCACATAAGCCATTTCGTTCTTCTCCACGTGTGCATGGTCTCCAATAGTATTTACTTTGGAAAATATTAAAAATTAAAATATATTAATAAATAAAAGAGTGATAATTCGTAGGAAAATTATCAAACCATAAAATGTTCCTCATGCAAAAAAATATAGTATTTAAACTTTCTTGTACACAACATTATTTGTTCAATAACTAAGCAACGCGTCGTCCCCAGAAACTAAAATTTTCAACACTTTTTTATTATTTACACGCGAAACAAACAACACAATTGTCCGTGACTAAAAATTGATTTCTTTAACAACATGCCAACGTACAATAAATGTTTATCTTGACTCTTCTTGATCTATTACTTAACATGCCAACAAACTAATATTTTCAACACTTTTCTATTATTTACACGCGAAACAAACAACATAATTGTCCGTGACTAAAAATTGATGTCTTTAACAACATGCCAACGTACAATAAATGTTTATCTTGACTCTTCTTGATCTATTACTTAACATGTCAACGTACGTGTTGACCTTGACTCTTCTTGACCTATTACATACACGCATAGCAACATACAATTGGTCCTGATCAAAAAAGATTTTTTAAGAACATGACAATGCACATCTCTTATCTATTACTTACACGTAAAGACAACAACATATAATCGGTCGTTGCTAAGAACCGATTTCTTTAATAATATGCCAACGCACATAAGACTGACCCTGGTCTTAAATGAAATCCTAAGATTAGAAGTAACTGGTGTTCTAGAACTTAAATGCAATTCTAAGATGGATCTTTTTATAATATGATAATTTACTTAGGCAGTCAGACACTGAGCTGTTAGTTTAATATCGATTATACTTGATTAGCAATATAATATTCACTAATATTTCTATATTTTTATACAAAAAGACTGACCACGACTGTTAAATGGAACACCAAAATCAGAAGGAACTGGTGCTGCTGAAACTTAAATGGAAGTCTAAGATGGATCTATTTATAATATGATAATTTGTACAACAGTTGGACAAATGAATTGGTGTATATCTACAAAAATATGTATGAATAATACAAAACATTAAATATTACATCACACTAATTTTATGAGAGAGATTATATATAGTAGGTATAAAATATAAAACATTAGTGATTAGACATTACTTCAGGCTAATTTTTTCAAGCCGAACAATTTTTAATTGAATGTGTGACAACTTGTTATATATTTTCAAACTGAACAATTTTTAATTGGACAACTTTCCTATTATATGTGTGATAACTTTTTAGGTAGTAAATTTATATATATATATATATATATATATATATTGCAATAAATAAAACAAAAAATCGATTTGCTATACAAAATTTTGAAAATTTTCCTTTAAAAAAAATTGACAAAAAGAATACCAATAAAGGGAATTGGTGTATATCTAAAAAAAAACGATATGTATATATCTCATATAAAATCGTTCATTCTCAAAATCTGCTACAATGGAAAATATATTTAAATATTAATATAAATATATTTATATATTAATATAAATTTATATTTTGTAATTGTTGGTTCTAATAAATACGATAAAATAAAAAAGAATTCTCACAAATGAGAATTCCAAAATTGACGCCATGTAAATTTAAATATTACTATAAAATCGTTTTTTTTGTGTGTGTATGTAACATATATGCAAATCAAAATCAATGATTCTAATAAATTTGTTAAAATAAAAAAGAATCCTTGATAAATAAGAGTTCCAAAATCGGCTACATATAAATTTACATAATCTTTGCCTACAAAACCATTATTAACGTAATTAAAGAAAACCAAAAATTTACTAAAAAAAACCACAAACCGAAAATCGAGTTATATGAAAATTCAATTAATGGTTTATTTTTTATTTAGATCATTTTATATTATTTCCATCTATAGTAGGTAATTAATGTTTTGAGCGGTAATGCTCGGGAAAAATTCAAAACTAGTCCCACAGGTATAAGGGGGTGACATTTTTGGTCCCAACGGAATGTAAAAAATATAAATAGTCCCACAACTTTTAAAAAATGATCAAAAGTAGGACTTTTTGCCGGATTTTACTGTTTTCCGCCCGGAATGTCACGTGGCGCACACGTGGCATATATTTTTTACACGTTGGCATCTGACGTAGATATGAAAAAAAATCAAAACTAGTCCCACAGGTATAGGGAGGTGACATTTTTGGTCCCACAGGTATAGAAAGGTGACATTTTTGGTCCCACAAGTATGCATAAAATATGCAACAAAATATGCCACATGTGCGCCACGTGGCATTCCGGGCCGGAAACAGTAAAATCCGACAAAATGTCCTACTTTTGATCATTTTTTAAAAGTTGTGGGACTATTTATTTTTTTTGCATTCCGTTGGGACCAAAATTGTCACCCCCTATACCTGTGGGACTAGTTTTGAATTTTTCCCGGAAATGCTCATAAAATGTTTGGGTATGAAAAAATCATATGTTATTAAAAACCTAATTGTAAACAACATTATTAGTTTGATTATTGGGCACACTACAATAAAATGTTAAAATTCTAATGGAAATCTATTCCAAAAGAAATTATTCCAACGACAATTCCAACGGATATTTCAATACTATTATTTCCGCTGGAAATTTTCAATGGATTCCAATGGAAATTCCACCAAAATATTCTGTTAGAATGAATTTTCCATTGGAATTTTTGCTGGATTTTGACGATTCTAACGGTGGATTTTTCAACGGGGTGGAAATAAAAATTCCAACGGAATTTGCATATTCCAACGGAAATTCTTACGGTAAAAAAAAATCATTGGAAATATAGCAGTTGAAATCATCAAATTTCTAAAATTGACACTCACTCTTGTTTATCGTCATGACAATATAAATGAATGTTTATCTAAAAAACTTAATCTTTGAAATGTAGTGATCGTGTGTTATTTTTTAATTTCGTGATTGATGGACTCTTTTATTAATTATTTGGTTTGAATCAATATCTAACAAATTTTGTTGCCAATCGTTATTAGAGTTTTTAAATTAATTTGTGTAAATGCATAAGTAAAAGAGACCTAAACTATGAAAATTTTTTCATCTTTTGAAATCAAACAAATGACAAACACTAAAATAAATAATGATAATAATTATAACATTGTATTATCAAAACCAATAAGGTATATAAAATTCGTTTTCCTTTTCAAATCGATAATGAAGAAAAAAGTCTAATTGGTGAAAAGATGATATATACAAATCATGATTTTGGAAATATGATATATACAAATCTTAGCATGCGATTTCAAATAATTTAATAATATAATATTATGTTGAATGAATTATGATTCAGATTCATGCAAAAAAAATTTGAACAGATTTTCAAAATCATGATATATACAAATCATGATTTTCCTTGAGGATTTATTCGGATTTTCAAATTGTTTGGAAATCACGATTTCTAAAATCATGATTTATTCGGATTTCCAAATTGTTTGAAAAAATAGGAGATTTATTCAGATTTTGATTCCTTATTGTTTACCAATATAAAAGTATTTGATGTTATTAATAAAAAAACAAAAAAATATGATTTACTAGTTTTAGGAGATAATTAATGAAAGTGGCGGGAAATTGTTTCTAAATTTGATTTATGTTAATCCTTATTATATATGATTAATATATATGTTAACATATAAGCAACATATATGTTACTTTCACGTAAATACTTATATATATATATATATGTATATATATATATAAATTATTTCTAACAATTATTAGAAATATGATTGATTCTTAAAAAAAATCTTTAATTGACAATTAATAATTAAATATTTTATATTGTATTTTAAAATTTTTAAAAATACGTATGGTAAGTGTATCTCTTAAATTAAGTGTATTAAGTATGGTAAGTGTATTTCTTAGATTTATTTTCCATATTTTTGATTGTATTCCAAAAAAAAAAAAAAA